GCCTGAGAATCTCCATAGATATTTGTGTCCTTATAGAATTCCCATTTCTAAATGGGCAATAATAGTTGAGCTGCTTGAATTAGATTCAGGCTCTTGGGATGTTGCCTGGGTTATAAGTAAGCCTCTTCTCAGGCACAAATCACAGTCATCTTAGGAAGGTCTATTGAAATGAAGGAGTTGAGGTTACAAGAATTTGAGCCCCTCAGCTATCTCCCATTTAGAATTGATGTATGTCTTAAGACAACTGAATGGAGCATTTTGTCATTTCTTTCTGATGACATATATTTGAAATCTTTTCATGAATAATGAATGAGCAAGTGTATTTATGAATGTACAGTTGTACAGTTATTCAATCCAGTTCAGCTATAAAAGTAAGGTAGAGAACCTGTGGCCATCCAGGTTTGCTGAACCAAGATGCCTGAGAATCATGGCCAATGATGAAGTTGATGCTCTTACTATTTTTAGTACACCAGACTGTGTACTGGTACTCCTCTGCTTACAACCACAATTGAGCCAAAATTTCTGCTAAGTGAATTTTGCCCCATTTTATGACCTTTGCCACAACTTAGTTGTTGTTCAATTGAATCATTGCAGTTCTCAAGTTAATAACACGGTTGTTAAGCAAATCTGGCTTCCCCATGGACTTTTAATTTTGAAAGGTCACAAAAGGTGATCACATGACCCCAGGTCACTGTAGCCATCATAAATATGAGTCAGTTGCCAAGCACCTGGATTTTGATCACGTGACCATAGGGATGCTCTAAGTCATAAGTGTGAAAAACTGTCATAAGTCACTTTTTTCAGTGCTGTTGTAACTTCGAACAGTCACTAAACAAATTGTTGTAAGTCGAGGATTACCTATATGTTAAATCAGTGCATTCTTTTTCATATTTGAAGCAAACAATGTGTTGACCCTTTTTTTGTTGTGCAAAAAAATATATCTAGATTATTTTTCCCTTGGGCTACAAAATGTAGCGTTCATCTCCTTGTTCTGTAAAATGTCTTATATATCCAAAGCCATAAGATGGCAGTGTTTTTTGCAGAACCTTCTCCCTGATTGAGCTTGGCATCTCTTCCCTTTGCCAGTCCCTTTCTTCAGTTTCTCTCTGAATTTGGAATAAATTCTGCCTGTCTTTTGTTGCCAGTTGGCTTCGGAAACCAGATTGTCTATGCACCGAGAAGGCTGGGTGGGTTGGTGGGAAATCTGTACGGGAATATCTGAACCTCACGATGGAAAAAAATCTCCGCTTTGCACAGACTTCCATTTCCAGCTGTGCTAGTTACCAGCGAAGATAGAAATGTCTTAAAAGCTGTGGTTTTCCTCTCTGCCCATTCCAGGAAGACCTGAACTCTTCTGGAACAATTTTCATTCTCCTCCCTTTTAGGGTTCCTGGAAGATGATACCAGCTCCTGATTGCTTCTGCCTGGAGACAGATGTTTTGTGACTTAAAAACTATCTGTTTTTGAATGGTTGTCTTCTAGGATTTCTATGGGTGACGTCAACTACTCCCATGAGTACAAAATGGGCAGGAGAAAATGGCTAATCTGGGTAGAGCTGCCACTTCCAATTCTTTTCTCCACGTTCCCTCTGTATGATAATGCACTAGACCAGTGGTTCTTAACCTATGGGGAGGGAACCATGATGTCATCATAGGGGGTTCATGAAGGCTTGAAGAAATGTTACGATTTAAATATTTAAGTCTTGGGGTTCCATGGCCATGACCACAAAAGGTATTTAAATGTGAAGAAAAGATTGAGAACCACTGCATTAGACTAACCAAAAGGATGAAAAAAAATCTGGCAGGACAGGATCTCGAGCCAATGGTGAAGCAGACTTGCTGAGGTTTTAAGCAGGTTATGATCCGGTTA